TGAGCGCAGCGAGTTCCGCAGCCATCTACTCACCAATATACTGCTGAACTGTTCAAGTAAGACATTCACCTGAACCACGTAGTTTTTAAACTAATGAGTTCCGTAGCGAGTTCCGCAGCTATCTATTCATCAATATGTTGTTTAATTACGATATTAACCTGACTCACTCAAATGTGAGTTATTCTCATTAGTTTAAAAATTACATGTTTCAGGTAAATGTCTTGATGAATAACTTGTCACAATATCTTACTAGTTTGGTAAAGTAATATTACTAATTTCTGTTGAAAGGCGAATTGACAAACAGTGGATAATCTTACAAATTCTGACTTTATATATAAGTTATTATTCAAGTACAAATAAGTGGATTGTTGCGGAACTTATGGGTGGACCTCTGCGGGACGAGCGTAGCGAGTTCCACAGCTATCTATGCATCAATATGTTGTTTAATTACGAAATTAACCTGACTCACTCAAATGTGAGTTATTCTCATTAGTTTAAAAATTACATGTTTCAGGTAAATGTCTTACTTGAACAGTTCAACAGTATATTGGTAAGTAGATGGCTGCGGAACTCGCTGAGCTCGTCCCGCAGAGGTCCACCCATAAGTTCCGCAAGAATCCACTTGTTTGTACAGGGTGCTTTTTTATATATTGACACTCCACCTACATCCTTAGCCTTTACAGGTAGAAAAAAGGTGTAAACACAAAAGTTGAACAGTTTTGGCTGAATTTTTAGAAGCCATGGTCAGATACAAAATTTGAAAGTCAGAAATGTGAAATTTTGCATGCTTCCAGCTTTTTTCAAATGAGATGCCCTATATCTTATTCTATATTCTTGAAGAGCACAATGCCCCGATTCCAAAAATATGTATATAGTTTGTCTATATTTGATTGAACAGTCTCTCATATATTCGGCTTCAAAAATTGTAAAAATACTATCCTACTACTGATTTTGTGAACTATTCTACCTGTACAGGTGAAAGCTGCAGGTAAAATTTGAGGTAGGTACTTGGTTTCTCTGATGGTATTTTCAAAATTTTTAGAACCAAATATGTTGGAGCCGGCTCAACCAAATATAGACAAACTATATGTACTATAGTTTTGGGGAAATTGTACTCTTCAAGAATATAGAACCAAATATAGGGGTTTCCAAGTTTTCATAGTCTAATACATAGTCTAATGATTTGATGATTTGAAAAAACGTAGTTAAAATAATTAATTGAGTATACCCTAATGGTTTACCCCTTTAACAAGGCAACTTATCTGTCTATTGATTTTCACTGATATTTAGACTGGTAATCTACTGACAAAACAAAATATGACCTGGCAACATTGTCCATCAGTGTAGATGTTACTTACCCCTGTCATACTGTTGTTACCAATGCCTTTCGTGTTGATTGCGTAGTGCTTTTTGAAGTCGAAATATGACGCTGCTGAGTCGACTCTGGCTTCCACCAATCTTCGACTATTTTCTTACCCCATTGTGATCTGCTTAAATAGTTTCAGCTCCTCTATCTGATAATAATGAATTCAAGTGATTTCAATACATTGACCTAAATTCCTCTCCCGCTACTTCTAAGAAATATAATTATTTGTTTGCCTGAAGATGTCGCAATTTCCTTGATTATTGGAGTCAATAGATGTCGTAAAAATATGAGGCCACATCTATAAAAGGATTCCGAAACTCGTGTCGGTCATAAATAATGTTTTTTAGATGATTTTCACTTGGTCTCCATAATTTAATTACTTCAGTCTTGCTTTTAATGTCTTCCCAGTGCCTTATTTATGGGTTCATTTTTAGGTTAAGGAACCTTGTAATGTCAAAAGTGTGCTTATATTATTTGAGATGAGGGAATCTATTTTTGGGAGCTTTCATGGCTTCTGGCCTTCTCGTTGATATGTGGTAATTTGGTTTGTACTTGGGCAACCTATTTTATTGATTGGGGGCTTTGAGTACGGTGAGAGGAATGACAGGGGCACTATCTTGATGAACTATCTACAAGAAAAACATGTATATGCATTGAACTCGTTCTATAACAAGAAACCGCAAAGAAAGTGGACATGGCTCAGCCCTAATGGAACAACGAGAAATGCAACTGACTACATACTGACCACTAAAAAATATATTATTAAAGATGTAACAGTCCTGAACAGATTCACCACAAAAATACGTATCGATGACAACTTTAAAGTGAAAAGAAAAACTAATAGAAACAAAGGACAACTAGACATGACCAAACTTGCACAAAATAAAACCATATACAAAGAGACACTGAAGGAACAACTGACCCAGAACTTGAACAGCGATAATGAAAATATAGATAAAATATACGATACATTAGCAGAAACCATGGTTAGGGTAGGAAAAGAAATCGCACAAAAAGATAAAAAGAAGGAGAGATGCATATCAGAAGAGACAAAGAAACTCATGAAAAGAAGGCGGAAACTGAACGAAGAAGGGAATAGGAAATCGATAGAATACACAGAAACCAATAAGACCACCAGGAAAATGATAAAAGAAAACAAAAGAAAGAACCACGAAATAGAAATAGAAAGAGTCATAGAGGAATATAAAATGCCTAAGTCCGACACTAGGAAGATACGAAATAAATAAAATAACAGACAAGAACGGCGTATAGAAACTAATATTAAGGAGGATATCATAAATATCACACTCTTTTATACAGAATTATATCAAACAAAAAAGGAACCACCGGAAGAAACCGTTAAACAATTACAAACTAAAATAAAGAATGTAAACTCAGAACTACAACCCGAAATAAGGAAATCGGAAATAAAGAGGGCTCTGAAAGAAATGAAAAACAACAAAACACCTGAAAAAGACAGAGTCATGGCGGAAATGCTAAAATACGGTGGAAAATCGGTTATCAATACTCTCCATACTCTCTTAAATAAAATACTGAAAGAAAAGAAAATCCCTAACAACTGGAATGAATCCATAACCAGCATCCTTCATAAGAAAAATGATAGAACATACTTGAAAAACTATCGACCTATAACCCTCCCTAATGTAATTTATAAGCTGTTCACAAAAATTCTCACCACCAGGCTAACAATAATCGATGGTTACCAATCGAAAGAGCAGGCCGGCTTCAGGAAGGGTTTCAGTACAAGTGACCACCAATTAACCATGAAAATCCTAATAGAACCAGCCAACGAATATCACATCCCACTATATATTGCATTTAACGAAAAGGCTTTTGATAGTGTTGAACACTGGGCAGTAAAGAGCTCATTAATTAATAGCAGAATGGACTACAGATACACACGCCTGATAACCAACATATATAGCAAAGCAACAACAACTGTCAAAATCCATGTTCCCTCATGGATTTTAACAGTTGTTGTTGCAAAACCAATACGTAGAGGTGTCAGACAGGGCGACACAATATCACCCAAACTTTTTAACCAGGCCCTCGAAGATGTTTCTAAAAAACTAGACTGTGAAGAAAATGTATAAAAATATGCGGACACTTGAGCAACTTAGATACGCGGATGATATCGCCCTAATAACTGATAAGAAAGAAGAACTGACGGAAATACTGGAAGAACTTGACACAGCAGCTAAAAACATAGATCTCAATATGAACTACGCTAAAACTAAAACAATAACGAACACAGACGATGACATCACAATCAGAATAGGACAAGTCGACGAATATATATATCTAGGACAGATTATTAAACTCAACAAACAAAACCAAACAGCAGAAATCAAGAGACGAGTTAGATTAGCTTGGGCAGCATTCAGCAAATTAAGCTACATCTTGAAAAATAGAAAATATCCACAATGCCTCGAAACCACAAAGTTTATAATCAATGTCTACTTCCTTTTCTCACCTATAGATCCCAAACATGGACACTTACAAAGTCAAACATGGATAAAATAACAAAAGCACAAAGATCGATGGAAAGACAAATGTTACATGTGAAACTGATGGATAAAAAGAGGAACGAGTGGATAAGAAATGAAACGAAAGTAAGAGTCGTTAGAAAGGAGGTAGCAAAATTAAAATGGAAATTCGCAGGTCACAATATCAGACAAAAAGGAATAAATGTATCTTAAGCTGGAGACCTTAGGAGAATAAAAGAAGTAGAGGAAGACTTCAGATGAGGTATGCTGATGACCTGAAGAAGCACGCTGAAACCAGGTTGATGAATATGGCAACAGACAGAGAGAAATGGAGAAGACTGGGGGAGGCCTACGTCCAAAAATGGACTGAAGAAGGCTGAATAGATAGATAGATAGATTGTATTGATAATCAGTACTTTATTTTGTTACTAGACATTTTCAATTCAAACTTTTTGAAATAAAAAAATAACATATAAAAAATATTTGTACCAACTGGTTGAAGCTACCTACTACCTACAAACAGTAAAACAAAAAGATAGAACGAATAAAAACAATTATCTCTTAATGTCATCTTTGTGCTCATTATTTTAAATGTTTGTGTCAATAAGATAACATTTTGTTAGGAGAGAATTAAATGAAATGCCAATACAAATTTGCCACTATTTTTTACTGGGTAATATGATAAACAAAAAATAAATACTCTTTCATCAGTATATGAAATGAGTATGAATACCCTAATAAAATGAAGTCAAAAATGTAGCAATTCACTCATTATCATTTGTATAATCCTCAAACTGTAGTTCTTTATCTGATAACGAGTGGATTGATACTCAATAAAGTTCTACAACTACTGTGGAACTACTAAAAGAGTTAAATTTGATAGAGCAAGACTTAAAATCTTACTAAAAAATGACACATAAATCATGTATCAAAAAACAACTTACTTGATTCCTAGAAAAAATATATTAATCCTTATAAAAATAATAATCGGTCTGAAACTGTTTCAAATAAGCAATAAAAAAGGGGGTCAAACGAATCCCCAACAAAATATAATAATAAATTTATGATCCTCATCAGTTTAAAGTTATTGTCTCGAGTCAAAAAAGGTAAATAAAACGTGAATACACCTTTTATCTCAAATGTTGTATCAAAATCAGATTTCGCCTTGTGATTTTTAATACAAATTTCATTCAACGCAAACATGTTGGCAGCTTTGTGGTTTTTGAGTTTTGTCGCGTTGGTTTCGAACAATAATTTTTGTCTAGGTAAGAATTTACTTGTAAAGTTCATGAGATTTAAGCTTTCAACTTATATAATTGATACATGTTCCTATTAAGGTTTTCAAAAGTTCGAGAAAAACTTCAACACTAGGATAGTGGGAGGCGAATTGGCTAATATAAGTAAATTTCCCTATCAAGTGTCCGTCCAGTACAACCACCAACATTTTTGTGGCGGGGCCCTTATTTCACCAACTACAGTTTTAACTGCTGCACATTGTTTTGGTAGAAGGTAAGCCTACATACACCGAGTGCAAAACAAATAATTTCCATTATTATTTTCCAGTTACCCAGCCTTATCCAAATTCTACCAAGTGAAAATTGGTAGCAATTCTACCTCAGGTATTGCCATTTCAATTCAATCAGCCATAGTTCACGAAAATTACAGTGCAGAGACGATTGATAATGATATTTGCGTTTTAACTGTAAGTTCTTTTGGTATATGTGTTTATTCAATCAATAGTCTTTTATTTTAGCTTGCATCAAACGTAACTAGCTCAGATACAATTGCTTTAATCAACGTATCAGAAACAACCAACTACCAATGGCAATCTTTGGCTTTTGTTAGTGGATGGGGCTACGAATCGGAAAATGGCAGCATCTCTTCATTGTTGAGATACGCCAAAGTTCCACTAGTATCGCCAATGAAATGTCAACAGAGTTATGACAATATTATTGATATCACGCCAAATATGTTGTGTGCAGGATTCAAAGAAGGAGGAACTGATGCATGTCAGGTAAAAATCCTTTAAAATTCTGTATTTCTAAGTCCTATTGAATCTCTTATTTTGTCCAATTTAGTTTTATTTCCTATATTTCTCAGGAATCTCAATTATTACTTTTTGATGTTTTTTTGTTATTCATCGTGCCTCTGAGGTATTTCTTGATATTTATCAATCACACCAATGCGACTACCTACTTCCGATGTGGCTACTTCTACTACTACTTCTACTTCTACCTTGTCTTTTCTCTTCATTTCTACCATTTTAACTTCTTTCTGCACGCCTGCTTCTGGAATTTCCAAGTGGTAAACCACCCCCCCCCCCCCCCCCCCGAATTTGTGCAAACAATTCCTCAAACTACCCGCAAATTTCTCCGAATTCTTCACAAATTCCTCCAAATTTCCTGCAAATTTATCCAAATTGCTCGCAAATTTCCTGCAAACGCCTGTTGCAAATTCCATAAAAATCCCCAAAAATTGTTTGTGATAACAAATTTATTTTTCTATTGTTATTACGCTCAGTGTTGAAACCAATAAATTTCCCAATTTCTCATACATTCCTTCAAGTTCCCCACATATTCATCCAAATTCCTCAAAAATATTGCAAAGTTATGTGCCCGAAAGCAAATGTCAAGTCCTCAAACAGTGAACAGAATCTCAGTAACCACACCTCCCGAAGTTTTTCTGTAAAACATGGTTGTTGAATTGAAAGGAGAGAGAATCACGTAGAGTGAGACTTCTTATCGATACTGGTTCACACAAGTCATATATATGTAACAAAAAAGTTGGTTGAAGATGTAGGCTACAAACCGATTAGAGAGGAACAGCTAGTTCACTCACTGTTCGGAGGAAGTCAAACCGAAACTGTAAATCACATATGCTACAAGGTTCGTCTGTATAGTCTAACTGAAAATTACTGTTACAATTTTGAAGTTTTGGATCAGCCACTGATTTGTAACTATGTTAGGACCCGGGTTAGATCAACTAAAAGAAATGGGGAGCGAGATAACAGATACTATGAATGGACCCATCGATGTATTGGTCGGCGCTGATATAGCTGGAAAACTATTTTCGGGACGTAAACATAATTTAGAGTGCGGATGGTTCGCAGTTCATACATTACTAGGTTGGACGCTTATAAGGTAGGTAAACTGAAGCCAACTTACAAAACGAAAACATCGTTACTTGTAACTTCTTTGTTTTCAAAAGATTTTGACCTACCTAACATGGAATTTAAATGATCATGGAATTCAAGACCCTGTAAAAAACAAATTTCAGAAGGAACAAGAAACATTGGTCATGGAACATTTTTTGTCAACAGTGTAGCAAAAAAATAATAAACGATATGGAGTAAGATGACGTGGCTTAAAGGTCACTCTCATCTGCTGTCTAATTTTGATTTGTCATACAAAAGACTTCTTAACACCACGAAAAAGAGATAATTTTTACAATGTTTATATGATGAAGTATTTGATAATTGGTTAGCAAATCGAGTGATAGAACCATTACCAGATAATAAAGAACCTTTTGAAATTTTATGTCAGTCTGGTCATTTTTTGCCATACCATCCAGTATACAAACCTAGTAGTGCCACAACACCTGTACGACCTGTTTTTGATGCGTCATCAAGAGAAAAAAGTCAACCATGTTTAGAAAAGGGTATCAATCTTATTGAATTGATCCCTTCCATGATTCTACATTTTCGAACAGAGAAGCTTGGAGTAGCTGCTGATATAAAAAAGTCATTTCTTCTTGTTTGGTACAGAAATTTAGACACCTTAGACTACAATTTTTGATAAACTCGATATACGACAGGTAACCAAACGAATTATTTTATCCATAACTCATAAGTTGTTTGACCCTATTGGCTTTTGGTGTCCAGTTACGTTCATTCCAAAACTTTTACTCCAAAAGTCATGGTCTTCAAATTTGGGATAGGACGTTGAGGTCACTGGAGAAATTCAAGAAATATTTTTGAAATGGCTACAAGATTTGCCATACTTGACCTATGTTAAAGTTCCTCGATGGAGAGCTACAGATTTTAAAGAATCGACTATGTACTTAGTCTTTACATGTCTTCTGTGATGCAAGATGCATGTGCCGACACTTATGCAGCTTGTATTTTTTTAAAAGCAGAAGTAGATGAAAGGTGAGTCTGTTAAAGACTAATTGAAGCAAAATCTAGAGCAGCAACTGTCAAGAAGTTAACTATACCTCGTCTTTAACGTTTAGCTGCTACCATTGGTGTACGATTATTTTTTCAAAACTTTCACAATAATCACGATTTGAAACTTGACGTTTTCTTTTGGTCAGATTCATCAACAGTTTGATCTTGGATTAGGAGAAAAGACCAATGGAAACCGAGAAAGATTGGTACCATGTTCCTGGTCAATTGAACCCAGCAGATCTTCCTTCAAGAGGCTGTTCTGCGAAAACACTAGCTGAAAGAAGATGTTTATTTGATCCAGTTTCAGAATGAGCAAGTCAAAATTTTGAGTACGACGAAGAAGAAGTTAGTAAGGAAAAAAGAAAGACTGTAGTTTCTCCTTTGATTGTAATTAAAGATTTTTTATGGTATTACCTACCTGTATTTCTCAAAATTCAACTAAATAGTCAACATGATTGCGTGGATGCTTCGATTTGTCAATAACTGCAGAAAGAAGAATAACGAAAACATGAACTTTTTGACACCAAAAAAATTAGAAGTATCAAAAAAAGTTGTCATTCGTTTTATACAAGAAGAAAGTTTTCAGTCCGAAAATTACCCCAAACTGTCACCTTTATGTCCGTTTGTTTATCGATGAAGACAGGTTAATCAGGGTACTTACTAGGATATCAGAAAGAATTGATACAGAAAACTTTCGTATGCCGTATGTTTCACCCTCAAATCATAAAAGCACAGTAAAAACAACCATGTTGGTGTACAAGGATTGATGAGCATTTTACGAGAAAACTATTGGACTCGTCAATGCAGACGTACTGTTATATCAGTTATTAATGGATGTACTATATATAAACGTTTTAGAGGTAAATTGTTAGATACTCCTGATATTCACCGGAGAATAGAGTACGGAATGCTGCAGTGTTCGAGATTATTGGAATATATTTAGCTAGCCCTTTACACCTCAAATCTAACCAAAAAGTGTGGATTGTACTGTATACTTGTGCTTTCTACCATTCACCTTGAGTTGACTTCATCCTTATCCAGTAATGCCTTTCTACAAACGTTAAGAAGATTTATTTTTCGTAGAAGTCGACCTTCAACAATTTATTCCGACTCTGGAAAGAATTTCATTGGATGTGTCAATGCTTTAGAAGACATAGATTGGTCAATAGTATAGCTGAAAACTGAAGTACTGTATAGAAAATTGAAAGTAGAAGGAATCATCTAACAGCTGTCTGGTGGGAGCGACTCATAAGGATGTTGCAAGATTTATCATCTAAAACACTTGGAAAAACAAGCCTTGATATGGAAGAGCTTCTTTGCGAATTGCGATTGTGGGGCGGTTTTGAATGCATGGCCACTGAAGTACCTATATGTCTGAAGATCCCAATGACTATGTTGTTCTCAAACCGTCAATGTTTCTACAAGATGTTAAAGAAGTAGGAATTGTAGATCTTGATTTAGTTGAAGCCAATGATCTGGGTAGACGATTCAAATATCGACTGAAACTAAGGGAAAATCTGAGTAAGAGGTTCAAGTCAGAATATTTAGGTCAACTGACTCTTTTTTCCAAGAATAATTCTAAACAGACAGTAAAAGTTGGAGATATTGTCCTGATACCAGATTATAATCTAAAAAAAAATTGAATGGCCTCTGGGGCTTATAATTGAAACGTGACGGGAAGTAAGAATAGTGAAGTTAAAAACGGCTTCAGGTGAACTTTTACGGCCATTGCAGCGCATTTCACAATTGGAAATGGGAACTTCAAGGAATTTACATACCTATTCCCAAAAAAGATGAGTCGCTAAAGAAGCCACTCAGAGAACCTGATGAGCAGCTTAAGACCAGGCCTGGGAGAAACTTTAAAATTCCTGCAAGATACAGAGTTTAATTGTGTTATTATTTTGTTATAAGAATACACAAGGTGAGAGTGTGTGAAAGCCCCCTTATTCTTTTCATATTTTTTGATATATACCAATCAGACCACAGATTACACCAGACTTTTGTAATGATGTCAAGAGATAACAGTGATTATTAGTCTATGGTGATCTATGATGGTGATTATTATTGAATTATTGGAAATTTGTCACATTGCTCTTTGTATCTCCGTTCTTTGTGAAATAGAAGTATTTTTGGAAGTAGTATCGGCTCTTGCTGCAAAGGTATAGCTATACTTGATAAAGCTGGACTCTGAGGATAAAAGGCATTATTGAATATCTTATTTTGTCCAATCTTGTTTTATTTCCTATATTTCTCAGGAATCTCAATTATTATCTACTTACGAAGCTTTTTGATGTTTTTTTTGTTGTTGATCGTGTCTCGGAGGCATTTCTTAATATCTACCAATCACACCAATGCGACTACTTCCAATACAACTTCTACTTCTTTTTTCTTCTCTTCTACCATTTTAACTTCTTCTCGCATGCCCGTTTCTGGAATTTCCCTCTTGCTTCTTACTATTTTTTCTTCTCAAAAAGCAACAAGCCATGTATTGGTATATAGTGGGAAGGTTCAGATTATTCCAGAAATACCTTATCGGAAACCTGGAATATTCCACGAAAAACATTATTCATCAAAAGAGATACCCTAGGAATCAAATTAGATAATTTATATTTCGGAAAAAAACCTGGTAACTTCGCCAATTGCATGGCTTTTCATTCACTCTCTTCTATAACCATTTTAATTCAAAGTACCAAAATTCTCATTCTCTGAGTGTAAGTCTAATAACCCGTTGATGTACCTGATCAGAAACCTCATTGAAATCTGAAGTAGGAGAAGATGAGTAGGGTGTTTTGTACAAGTTCTAGTTCAACACCATCTTTCAAGGTCCAAAACCTAGTTTTATACAGGCTTTTGTGCTTTTAAAGCTGTTTTTTTTTGCTGGTTTCAAAGGGAAGGGTAGCCGCCTTCTTACTCCTCATGAAAATACTAAAATAAGTGATTTTATTTCAGGGTGATAGCGGTGGTCCTCTAGTACAAAACAACAAACTTATAGGCCTGGTAAGTTTCGGAATGGGTTGCGCCAGACCAGGCTATCCTGGAGTTTACACTAACGTAGCTAATTTTTTGAAATGGATAGAAGAAAATTCAGATTATCGTGGCTCACGTCAAACCACTGAATCAACAACAACCTCATCGTCATCATCACAATCATCAGCTAGTCCAATTGGCAATTCAACTGCAGAATCCGCTGGATTTGGTAATTTTGCAGCTGGAAAAAGCGGTTGCAGTTATTGCCTAATTTTGGCAGCAGTTTTCATGTTTTTCTGTTAAATTTATATTTATTTATATTATTTATTATGCCTTCAATTTGTTAAAATTAAAATAATCTTGACTTTTACTTTTTTGGTGCTTTTATTTCCTCAACAAGTGCTAGTAGTAATAAATATGATTCAATAAATTAGCATGAAGATAATGGACTTAAATTCTTAAAAAAAAATGGCCCTATATATATTTCTCTAGTACCCATCCAATATGGATTTTTACCAAACAATCTCATAGAACTATTAAAATAATCCATCTAAATTGAAACAATCATTTTCTGTTTCTGGAAACATGTGTTCGAACAGCCTGACAAAGGTGGTCAGTTTGCAAAATTGACCTCCGCAGCCTGGAATTGATAGTCTTTTTGGTTTGCCTTCAGTGTAATCTTGGTAGAAGAACTAACAAAAAAAAAATTCATCAAAACGATCAATTTTGAACAGCAACTTACTTTGAGTCCTCTAATTCCTCCATAATTATGCACTTCAACAATGACATAGCTTCCATATGGTGGTACGTGAGAATAAAATACATCAAGGTATCTCAAAAATATCGCTACGTTAAACTCGTGAGCCGAATAAAGATAAATTTTGGTGCCTTTGTCTACTCCTTTGATTTTTGTGTAGGTGTCGTCAATGATTTTCTTAACTAGGAATCCTAAATCAGAATCAATGTAAGTAAAATTGAGTAAATTTTTGTACATGTGCTTACCAACTACAAACTTCTTAAGCTCAGGAGTTGCCGTACTGACATTGTAGTCTTTGATACATAAATCTTGGATATGGTGGTAGATTGGCTTGGCCCATTCTGGATGATCATAACCATTTTCTCTCTACAACAAAATTATAAATAGATTATATTGATTGATAAATGATAATTACCTCTGTTGTTAAAGTAAAGTATAAATCAGCAAAATCTTTACTAGTCATTGGACTTCCTGTATGATGTTCCAAATATTGAATAACTTCAGTGTAATTTTCGTATAGTTTGCGGCCTTCACTGGAGTTCAAATAATTCCAGAACAGTTTGTTGTATCTTGGACAGTTTTCCAAAGGATCAGCCAAAACCTACAATTCAAATATTTAGTTGTACCTTATAAAAATCCTATAATACCTCTTACATGATCCTCTTTAACAGGCCAATAATTGAATGGTACCGGTTGCCAATCGAGACGGTTCTCCCAAACGTAGTTGCCTCTGGGCGGAAATAGTGAGGCCAAAACTAGCTGCAGCGACATTTTGGTTCTGTTGTAGTCTGTACATCTCGCGTCTACTGTATCCAAAGTGAATTTGTCGTCTCTGAGGAATTCGTAGTATCTGGAACGTAGCTCTTTGCCTATGTTGTATTCTTTACGTTTGCCGGCCTTAAGAAAAAAGATAATATTACCGGCTCTTGATTGGCTAGACATTTCTACCAGAAACATTCAAGAGCCAATATATCTAGTCAAATAGAATCTTTGACTTACTTAAGTAAGTCAATTGGGATTCTTTGGAAATTGATTTTGAGACATAAATATACAAAATAGCAAAATTGTTAAGTTAAACTCTTTTACTATTATTATTATTAATTCTAAAAAAATGTCTGATAATAGAAAAAATTATAAATAATTCTTTTGACGTAGTTATAGTATCAAATACGTATATTGCTAATTATTATAAAATTTTAAGAAACATTGCGTCTTAATTATTTTTTTTTTAAATAATCGAATTTCGCAATACACTCTGATAAAGTTTTATGTTTAAAATGTTTGCAGAATTAATTGCCAATAGATGCAAGAATAATTTAAGTAGACGTTGCATTTTGAATTCACCATCATCATTTTTTACAATTACCTAATACTTACATTTGTGAGTTGTCCATTTCCAATGGGAAAGTAAGTCACGTTATAATAAGGGTCATTTTTGTAAAGGGCTCTTCGGTCAGGAGTTCTATCTCCATGTCTGAATAACTGAAGAATGAAAAATATGATTAAAACAGAGTTGTATAACTTAGATATATTCTTGAAGAAATTGTACTTACGACATGGACCAATTCTAAACTTTCAGTGTCGACGTCTTCCCTGTTAACTGACCGACCGACGACCAAACAAGACGGTCCCACCACAAACAGCAGAAAAACGGATGCCTGGAAAGCAAACGTTCGAGATTCGAACATCTTATCTCGAGATGGTAAAGTGGAGACTGGCAACGTTCGAAGACTTTTTCGCCATTTAAAGAGACTTGACGCGCTATAGTCGGTCTTCGATGGTATGGGTAAACCGGATATATGTGATTTAGAAGCGATAAAGTGGGACACTAAGATAAGAAGAAAAGTGGGCCGTATTTTGAGTTGAGAACTTGAGAAAATAGAGCTACAGTTCAAGAAACTTTTGGGAATGTTCAGCTTCAAAAAAAAAGTCTCACTTTCAAAGGAAATACGGAAACAGTGCCGGAAGCTTAGAGAAAGTGGGTGGAAATCCAAAGAAGTTGAAATTATGGTCTGAGAAGGATTACAGTCCATCAATCTATCCTCGTTTCGCTGGAGAAATTAGTGGACATAATCAAGCATTGTGAATATTTGAGAAAGTGTGGCAAAATCCAAGTTAGCATAAGGAATTATTGAGAAATTCCGCGTAAGTTGGAAACAGTTACCTACTGTATAAAATGTGGGAAGCTGTTTTTTCCTCACCAGAACCAGAAAGCCCAGTTACATAAAGAAATCTGAGAAAGTATTGAGTAAGCTGCGAAAGTTTTGAGAAATCTTAGGGAGTATTGGGCAATATTAGGAGAATAAGAGATGATTAAGGTAGGTACGGAAAGTTTGAAGGAAGTTGGTGCGTAAATCCAAGGAAGTTGAAATTATGGAAGACTGGACAAGCATTGTATGAATAAGTCCGAGAAAAATGGGAAGAACTCAAGAAAGCGTGGAGAATCATTGAGGAAATCCGAGGAAGTTGAAAAAATTCCGAAAAAAAAAGTAGGGGAAGCATTCTTAAAGACGAGAATACAAAAAATTGTCTTTGGCAATGAGTTATGACCACATTTCTCGCGAATACTTTATGGACTTTGAAATAAGGAGAAATTACCTGAAAAGTTTTCACCTCCAACCATGAAAGTGCAGAGGAGGTTTATCGAAATTTCAAATTATGCAAATCAGAGAGAGTATTGAGGAAGTTACAAAGGTTTTGAGTAATCTGAAGGAGTATTGATCATTATTAAGAGAATAAGGGATGATTGAGGTAGGTACGGAAAGTTTGAAGGAAGTTGGTGCGGAAATCCAAGTAAGTTGAAATTATGGAAGACTGGATAATTGTACGGATAAGTCCGAGAAAAATTGGAAAAACTCAGGAAAGCGTGGAGAATCATTGAAGAAATCCGAGGAAGTTGAAAGAATTCCGAAAAAAAAGTAGGGGAAGCATTCTTAAAGACGAAAATACAAGAAAATGTCTTTGGAAATGAGTTATGACCACATTTCTCGCGAAGACTTTATGGGCTTTGAAATAAGGGGAAAATTACCTGAAAAGTTTTCACCTCTAACCATGAAATTGCAGAGGAGGTGTATCGATATTTCAAACTATGCAAATCTGAGAAAGTATTGAGGAAGTTGCGGAGGTTTTGAGAAATCTGAAGGAGTATTCATTATTATTAAGAGAATAAGGGATGATTGAGGGTGAAGTTGGTGCGGAAATTCGAGGAAGTTGAAATTATGGAACAAGCATTGTAGATGTCCGAGAAAAATTTGAGAAACTTAAGAAAGCATGGAGAATCATTGAAGAAATCCGAGAAAGTTGGGAAAAGTTCAAAAAAAAATTACGTTAATTATTTATGAAATTTAATAATTTAGTCAAATGAAATGAAGGAAGTATCTTAACTATTGATCCAACAGACGGAAATAACTGTTATTTTCTTTATCCTAAATCAGGGCTCATTTTCTAATAAGGAAATAGTAGAAAATTCTTAAATTCTATGGAAACTCTCTTTACGACATTCAATTGCCTATGAACATATAAACTTTTATTTGATGGATTTTCCAAAAAAAAAAATATCAACAATAGTTCTAAAGATCACCATTTCTTGATTCATTAGACACAGTGTAGAAATCATGCCGTGCAGATAAGAAATTATTAATAATAATCAATGAATAAATAGAAGCAACTTTGAAATAAAACAACTATTTTTTATTAATTGCATTATATTTTGACCCGCCATTAGCAATTTTTTGACTATTTTGTCATCGACTTTAATGATTTATTTTACAAGTTTTTGGCTAGATTATTATTCAAATGACGAAAATAGCTTAAAACAAGAAACGGCAGTTTTTTAAGTGAGAAAACTAGTTTACAGAAGTGATTATAAACCAATCAAAATAGATTCAATTGCCTACTATCACTAAAATTTTTTTGAATAATATATTTATTTTTCTCATATTATCTTAACATTATTAACTATGCGGCCCTAATTAATATGTAATTACTTATGTGAAGTCAAATTATCAAAACCAAAGTCTGGCGACATTTCGCGATAAGAAAATAGAAAACGCGTGAGGCTGAAACGTGATTTCTTGATTTCGAGGATCAAGGATTAACCCCGCGTGTTATTTTGGACCAATTTGATAAACTTTTTAGTTAGATTTTGGATAATTTATAACAATTTTAGATTGTACACCTCGACAAAACAAAAACAAATCATATTTCGCCATAATGTATAATCAAAAATGTGTATTAATAAATTAATTTATCGGATCGTTTTCGGTTTTTTGCAACGATCGATTTTAAATTTGGTAATCGTTTTTCGTTTTTTCGAAGATCGTGGAAAATTTTCTGGGCACCTTATTGAACTTTGACGGGCAAAGGTTTTTAATTGGATATTTCCAGTTTTATGGATGCAAAATAGGGAGCTTATATCCTTTGAATTTAAGAACATTTTAAACCCTTTTTATTTTTATAAAGTAGCAATAGAAGCATGTAGGTAAAACACAGAAAAGACTGGACTTGACGTAACAATTAACTTTAAAATACAAAGTTTTTGATCCATGTCAAGTTCCTTAAATTTTTAGTGAGTTCCGAGAGATTGGGGATAAATTTCGAAAAAAACTTCAGTAATCCTAATATTCTTAAAACATCAAAACGATTTCTTGGTGTTTCAATTTCTGAAATTGCTCTAATGTTTTCAGAATGGGCCCTGACTCCTTCCTTTGATATTTCATGACCAATAAATATTACTTTGTCTAATTTATACTGAAGTTTATTAAAATTAAATCGTACATTATTGATCTCAGCTCGTTTAAAAAACTTCTAAAAGAGCCTTATCATGACTCACCTCATCAGCATCACTAATTATGAGGTCATCAAAATAAATTTCGACACCTGGTATATCTCCAAATATTTCAAAGCACTTTCTTTGAAATAACTCGGGTGCACTTGATATTCCGAATGGCACTCTTCTAAACCGATACCTACCAAAGTGTGAATTAAACGTGCATAAATCTGCACTATTATCATCCAACTGGAGGTGATAAAACCCATCCTTCATGTCAAAATTTGAAAACAATTGTTTTGATGGAAGCCTACTCAAAATATCGGTACAAGTTGAGATTAAAAATTGCTCTCTGCGGATATATTTATTGAGGGGTTTGGGATCGATACAAATTCTCAGTGATTTATCCTTTTTTCTCCACAATCATACCACAAGCTTTGCATCTTCAGTCAACTCAATTTTACATTGAGCTTCAAAAATATGCCTATCCTTTTCAAAAATATCATTTTTACTTTTTAGTAGAATCTGAACCACATTGACCCTTTTAATCAAGTTCAATTTTAGACAGGCATCCAACCCCAATAAAGGTCACACTCACACCATGACTTTTTATCTTTTCCTTGGGTACTGGAATATTCATTAATAAATAAATCCTTTGTATCCACTTCATATTCACTGTCATCGTGTTTTGTGAGTTCTCTTACATTACTAGATACTGCTTCCTTGCTGATAGCCTTATCTTGTAAAATGTCCTTCGGACATACTTTGGCAAAATGTCCCTTTTCTTGGCACTTAGCACACGTTTTATTATATGCTGGATATCTGTTGGTATACCTATCTGTTAATCCAATGTTCATAAGAGCATTTTCCACATTTAATCTTCTGAGCTTTTTCTCGAGATTCTCTAATAAAATTGACTTCTTAATTCCTCTGGATTTAATGTTTTCAAGTGCTCCTTGCTTAAACTAACAGACTTTTTCATCTCAATTATCTTGGTTACATCAACATCTGGCTCTCAAAATCTTGGAAATAGACTATTGTTTTAGTGGGAGTAAAAGCAATACTCACCTCCCTTAATAAAAATACTTGAAATTGAATTTTTTTTATTATTATTATTGATTAGGTTTACACGTGAATTGTGAATTGTAGGTGAGTATTTTTATCAAGGGAGGTAAGTACCGCTGTTACTCCAACTAAAACCATAGTCTATTTCCAAGATTTTGACAAGCTGTCATTTCGTTACGGATAAAAATAATTAGACGAAATTCTAGGGCCATAAAGAACTCGATGATAATTTTAAAAAGAGGTATGACACGACCCCTATTCCCTATTCAAATTTGGGGGGTTGTTCTACGGGGGTTGAAGCTACGGGGATGAAAAAAACTGTTCTAAGTGAACGGATATTCAGTTTACCTGTTGGTTAACTGATAATTATCATTGGTTAATCGACAGCTAAACTAGATAACCGTCCACTGATAAACCGATCCTCGAATAGGAAACACCTTCGATGTTTAACTTCTGGTTACGAAAAGCGTTTTGGCGTCTAGTTACTTATTGGTTAATGTTGAATATTACTGACCATGTCCCCATATCCTAACCTTCTTAACCATTTCGTTACCTACCGCTGTATAACTACTTTTCGTAACCCGGTTAACGCCGAAACTAACTAACTAACCCAAATTGTAACTCTATAACTGTACCTAATATGAATTTAAATTTTAAACACTTTTGTAGGGATAAATATCGTGATATTTTTGAAATAAATATCGCGATATATGTCATGATATATTATATGAACTGATATCCTCGCGCCTTGCATTTGTGGTCTTATTTTAAATTGTTTAACTTATTAATTCCTACATGGAATACATAAACAAAAATGCATACAGAGCTGTTTTTATCAAAATTTCTTTCACTAAACCAAAAA